TTCAAGAGTCAGGAGGCCCTGCTTGTACTCTGCTGTGGGATTCTCAAGTTTGTGTTGAGAGTGGTAAAATCAGAGAGTTGACTCTCTGGAGAGAATGAATGTGATCAGCCAAACTGAAGGCATTTGATTTTAAATATTTTGTGAACAAGTTAAAACAGTGGTTTGTATCCATCCATGCAGAGTGAAATACACACTTTCTCACATGCAAGATGTCCATGCTTATATGAAAATATTCATTCTCACTTATTCTTGCAGTCTTTCTTAATGCCAGACATATTTTAGTTCCCTTGAGCAGAAACCAGATGAATAACAAAAATCCTGGCACATAATCCAGTCGGCACTGTATTTCATTTTACAGTATGTTTCGCAAATAGAAAAATAATGTTTATTTGATCATGATTTGTCGGAGATTGGGTTGATATTTTCACCTTATCGCCATTTTTCACTGCAATAGAAGAGCCATAAAATGTTCAAAGATCTGATTGGTCAGATGGAAGCACTTGATCTACAGCACTGGGAAATGTAACAACAGCAAAACAAAACAATCTAATAAATTTAATTAGATTTATAAAAATGAACTTGTCTGCCCTCGTTTGCATCCACACATATACGAATTCTGTAACTCTGCCGCTGCACTACGTCTCCATCGCACTGTCGTGGCAGTACAGCCACAGTGTGAGGTGTGATGTCAGGCCCTCCTGCTGCTCGTCGATCATGATTTTCCTGGTGGAGTGCTCAATAACTCAGCAGGCTCTCATGCACCATGAGAGCACAATTAGGTCGACTGACAACTGCATTTTTCTCCCCAGGAATAAAGTGGAACCACCCATTGGTATTAATCTCAGTGGTGATTTTGACTGATGTAATGAATGGATGGCTTCCCGCTGAGCTCGGCGCAGCTCCACAGTCGCCTGTCTACCCTTAACCTCAAGTGGGGATGAGGATCGGAGGGGTTGTTTATTTTAGGAGTGAAATATTTTAAAACTGGGTCAGCAGCAGTTAAAGGTTGGCACACAGGGAAGTAAAGGTCAAAGACTGGAACATGGAAAATAAAATAATGGGACAGTGGAAAAGGTGTTACTTTGGAAAATGGAGCCTTGGATATTTAACTTCATCTGCTTTGACACTTCAAGGCTGTTTGAGGCTGTTTGCTTCATTGCTTGTGAGATAATAACTGTGAATACCATATACTTTTATTTTCAGGATAGGTTAGGCTACATAATGGGAAGAATGGGAAGAGCAGAGTGTCAGTATTTTTCAGTTTTTGTCCCTCATCGATTTTCTGGCAACTACAATTCCCATCATGCTTTGAATGGTAATGTTGACATAGTGAGTGTTTATCTGGTAAACTGCAGATCAACTGTCTACATTAAACCCACTAACTGTGATTGACAAGTGAAAGGTGTTAATGGTTTTGTATGAGCACTGCTTCATGGAAGTAAACTACTTTAGTAACTGTTTAACAAACCCTGATTTTTCAACCAAAGTGTTTGTTTTAACCAAATGAATTACTGTCAAACTAAAGAGTGTCAGTTTTTGATTGCTGTTGTCAACAAACTGCATCGCTGACACTGCTGTGCAGACCCATCTGTGGGTGTTATGACATGAATGTGTGTCTATGTTGGGTTGGTCTTTATACTGTAGATCCATTTCAAACATCTCCCACTCATTCTGTGACACTGACTGATTCAGCACTGCCTCCTGTAGCAGCCATAGATCATCTGCTCTGATATGAAAAATACTCAGGTTTAGGCCTCCCCCTGAAGACTCCGAGTGGAGAAAATGACCTTTAGTAATAGATAAATGTTACAAAGACGCTGCTTTCATTAGGAAACTGGAGCTATTGATTTGTCCTGCTGCTGAACATCATCTTTACTCAGACTGTCTGCTCGCCTTCTGGCAGCTAACTGAGCAGTTCATCTCATGATAGTTTGTGGAAACTAAATTACATGACTGACCAGGTAGCAAACAGGAATACGCACACTGGACATACTCGGAACACAAGATAGTAGATTTTAATTATGACACAATCAAAAAGGAAAGTTAGGTGATATGGTAAACAGAGTGACAAAGGTCACGCTAGGATGAGGTTGGGGTGGAGGGTTAACAGATGCTGATTACTGCCAGTACTCATGTTCTTTAGGTACACATACACTTGACTGACACACTGAATGAGGTTTAGTTATTCTCAGGTATTTGGGGTCTGACTGTTCTTGGGTACTTTTTGGATCCAGTCTATTTTTTGCTGAAATTTAACTTATGAACACCTGGATCATTTTCAGATCAGGTGCAATATTCTGGACCTGTGAAGCTCTGAGCCTAACCCCACTCCACAAGAGTGACATTAATAATTTTTAACAGTTTTAATGGCTCTGGAAAACACTGACAAACAATGAGATCCAGTGGCACAGGATCAGAAAACGTTCATATGTCACTTCGGAAGGCAAAGGAAAATACGAGCTATTTAGTGTGGAGAACTGCATATAAAAAACATTTTCCTGCACAAAGAAAATGGAATTGGAACTTGAAATGAATCCATATATGAACAGAAAAAGGAACATAGATATTAAAGTAAATGTACATCTTTGTTCCAGGGAATCAGCTCTGTGAAAACAAAGTGCTTGTATAGAGATTGATAAAGTTAAAAACATTACAACCGGTGACAGGCACATGCTATCCTGTATTCACATTCAACACTGAACAACCCAGTCAACCAATGAGTAAAGTCCATTCACACAAATACAGTCACAGCTTGATGAACTAGGAAAAGTGTGTAATTATAAAAAAAAAAAAGAAAGCGTTAACCAGCAGCACCACAGTATGCTTATTGTATTAGGCCAACACAGATGAAAACCTGATCACATCCAGTGGCACCCAACTTTTCTTTGAAAAACAACTGAACTAATAAATCAATGCTTGGAGAGTGGTTACATCTAGACTAAGTCCACAGCATAAAGTTTTATGTTTTAGGATATAATGATGATTTCAATCCTAAACTGTTCATCTAAAATGGTGGATGCCACTGAACAGACTGTTTGGCTCACAGTGAACCAGCTGTATTCAGAGCCCGTCTGGCAGCATTTGAAATCGTGTCAAATTTAATTTAAAGAATTCATGTAGCCTGAGGGCTTGTTTTGAAAGAGGGGCTTTTCACTGACTTTCTGCATCAACCGCTTTTCCAGCAGGGATTTGAACGTACAACCTTCCAGTCACACAGCTTTTGGTCAGTCTGAGCTGCACCGCCCTCACCCGTCCTCACCCTCTGCAGTGCTGGGTCAGCTGGGTGATCGATGCGCTCCAGACAATGACTGAAGCCAATTAGTACCTGCTGTCAATAAATAACCACCACAGCACTTTGCTTTGCCTTCACATACAGAGCTATAATGGATGTGTAATGGTTTAAATAATCACCAAGATTCTTTGCATTCAGCTTTTCACTTCCCACTGAATTTAAAAGAATATTGTCCTATTGCTGAGACAGTTTACATAGGTCCACAGCCCATTTTATGGTGATGAACAAAGAAAACTACATATAAATTCTACTTGAAAAACTTTTTTTTCAGAATTTGCCAAAAAATAAAAAGTTTGGAATTAATTTTTTTGTTTCTGTTTAGATTATGGTAGAGTGAAATTGTTGAAACCATTATTAGAATATTGTTTTATACACATAAATGAGTATTATGATATGGGAAATGTATGAAAACTGGTACAGTTGACTGTTTTCTATGCCACGTGGTAAAAGTCTGCCTGTTAAAACTAAATTAAAAAGAACTTATTCTGCTCCAAGTCATGCAAAAGTGTATTACTGCATTGGAACTTCTACTTATTTTCTATCGTTCTTTCATCTGTAATTCCTTTTATTTCCCTCTTTTTTGTTTCTGAAATGTTGTGTTTCACTTTCTTGTCATAGCCTATTTAACAACAGCCTCTGCATTGTGCCATACTATATTATCAAAGCTACCACAGACACATCTGTTGTACATAGATCTCACTTGTAGAATATCGTTTTCTCTAAGGTCTAAACTCAACACTAAGTTCTTATTACAGTGATTTTTCCTTCGGGGATCGATGCATAAGGGGTCGAGCGCTTGTCCAGCTAGTGACAAATCTGCTGACCAATCACTGATGGGCCTCAACATCTTCCTGACCAATGAGAGCATCCTGTGGGCGTGTCTGTCCACTGCGAGGTGTGTTTGTTGGAGTTTGCTAAATGACTGCAGTAAGAGAACACAGTGTCGGAGCGCACCGAACCTGCTCTGCTGTTAAAACTGTACCTCCGTGTGTGTGCGCGTGTGTGTATGTATGTGCGCGCGCCTGGCAGGGGCCAGTGGCGTTGCTGCCCTTCTGCCATGGAAGAGGGTCCACATCAGTCCGACACACACGTTTGCACGCTATTATAACACTCAAAGCTCTCCCGGGGCGACTGATTTATTCCTCTCGGATGGGAGCGGATGCGGAGCGCAGCAGCGGCCGCCGGTGCGTCTCCAACTTGACTACCACCAGACAATGGGAATAGCTGAGCCGTGTTACTACTACTACTGCTCGTCCCTGGGAGACAGCCACGACAAGGAGAAGCAGCAGCAGGAGGAGGTGAAGAAAGAGAGGGAGAGAAAGGAAAGGAGGCAGACTTGCTCTACCTGCAAACCTCCCTCTCTGAGCAGCAGC